GGATAAAGGACATCTAAATTTAAAATAGGAACATAAAGGATATCTAAATTTAAAATGGGAACGTAAAGGATATCTAAATTTAAAATGGGCTGACAAAGATTATTTAAATTTAAAATAGGAACATAAAGTATATCTAAATTTAAATTGGGAGGATAAAGGATATTTAAATTTAAATTGGGAGGATAAAAGACATCTAAATTTAAAATAGGAACATAAATGATATCTAAATTTAAAATGGGAAAATAAAGGATATCAAAATTTAAATTGGGAGTATAAAGGACATCTACATTTAAAATGGGAACATAAAGGTTATCTAAATTTAAAATGGGAACATAAAGGATATCTAAATTTAGATTGAGAGGATAAAGGATATTTAAATTTAATTTAATAGGATAAAGGACATCTAAATTTAAAATAGGAACATAAAGGATATCTAAATTTAAAATGGGAACATAAAGGATATCTAAATTTAAAATGGGCTTATAAAGATTATCTAAATTTAAAATGGGAACATAAAGGGTATCTAAATTTAAATTGGGAGGAAAAAGGATATTTAAATTTAAATTGGGGGGGGGATAAAGGACATCTAAAATTAAAATGGGAACATAAAGGTTATCTAAATTTAAAATGGGAACATAAAGGATATCTAAATTTAAATTGGGAGGATAAAGGACATCTATATTTAAAATGGGAACATAAAGGTTATCTAATTTTAAAATGGTAACATACAAAATATTTAAATTTAAACTCAGAAAGTTAGAAACATAAATCTGTGACCCATAATGGGGAAAGAGTGTTTGGAGAATTTAACATTTGCTCAATAGATTATAGGTAACAATAGTCAGAAGGAAACATTGAGTAACCAAACAAGTAAACAAACATTGATTACAGCTTAAAACTTATAGGAAATTGAGATTTTAGTTCACATCGAATTAAAATAAAAAGTAAAAGCATTCTCTTAAAACAATTTAATAGGAGTAGATAGTTTTTTCTATAGCCCGGTTCACACCCCTTTTGAAGAGAAGTAGAGGTTTATCTCTTGATTCCTGTTTAGGATTGCGTTCCCGGTTCCTTCTAAAGTCTGCTTTAGCTCTATATTCGTAACGCTTGATCTTTCCTACGTTAATAGAAGTCCTCATATTAACCCTCTAGCTTGAGTGGCTCTTGTGCTTTATATTGGATGAACATTAGTTAAAAGTATATCAGGAAAATAGGTTTCAGTAGCTGTTATTGAATTTTTCTAGTATTAATGGGGGTTTCCTTGCTAACCTTTTTATTTGAAACCGTGAGAGCAGTCGTTCCTAATTTTTTTTTCTCTCTGGGCCGCATTTTCGGAATTAAAATTTGCTCGCACAATACCAAATTTTGTGATAAAAAAGTACATTTAAAAATAAATGAAAAAAACAGAGAGAGAGAGAGAGAGAAAGAGTTAAAGAGAGATAATCGCGGATTCGAACATTATCATTGATAACTCTCTCCCCCAAGTTGCGGACTACATGCTTAATACTTAATATAATGCAAAAAAAAATGAAGAAATTATTTACAACTATTTATATTGGGACCTATGCATGCAATTACAAGTAATCCATAATAATACTTTGAATTTTGAAATCATATTTATTTTTGGCATATTAATTTTTTTTATAACTGTTTCTAAATAGTTAAATATCTTTCAATTATTCCGGCTCACCAGCTATCCTCTTCCGCTGCACTTATGAGACTCTCCACACTGTTTGGGAACCATTGGTGTAGAGTGCTGATTATGTCATTATTTTCTATGTGCTATTGAGGATATGTAACGTACAAAGTTAAGATGAACTCAAATGATTCAAAAGGACATATCGCCTCAAGATTTTCGTTTAAAACGACAACAGATCACCATTTTTATTGGGCAGAGAATTGAATAAAATGTCAAAATATTTACTGCAAGTCTTTTCTAAAGTCAATTATTGCATTGATTCTCCTATATAAGCAAAACTTTAGACTCTTGATAGTGTCTTTAATTTTATTTCATAGTTTTAAACTGTGTGCACTGGTTGAGGAGGACCGAGCTAACGAACTGCCTCGACCCCACCCCTTCAACAATCATGGCGTCTTCATAATCTCTGAAACAATCAGTAACAGAATTAAATATTTCTATTTTTTTACTCATATATATATATATATATATATATATATATATATTTTGTGTGTATGTGTTTTCCTAGTCGTTCTTTCGTTTCAGCTTCGTTGTTTTTTTTTCTTCTTCTTTTGCACGTTTATCCGAAAAGGTTATAGAAATTATTCGATCCTAATACAATTTAAACGTAAAGTGTATTATATGCACACCCACACCGAGAGAAGGTTGAAAATCCTATTAAAAATAAAACCTGCGTTGAAGAGATGAACAGAGCGATTGCAATAAAACTTCAATGCAAGAAAGCAAACACATTTCTCATTGTTTACCAATAAACATTTTCGTTGTAAAACAAGTTAATGTTTTTTGATTTTTTTTTATTCTCTCGCTTACTTTCACAGCTACTCGATCAATTTTCTGGTTATGTTTTTTTTTTTCATTCTTTTATACAACTGCAAAGAATTCACGGCCGTCTAAGATATGTTATCTTTAAGCTGCACACGACGAATTCACGGTAGCAGGGATACGTAGACCTTTCCTTTAATTCGATTACAGCTTAAAATGTAGCTGCTTATAGCAGTTATCAATAGTTAGTCATTAACGTTCCTGTTAGTTACAAAAGACATAATGGACGTGGAATTTTCTTTGACACTTCTCGAACATTGGCATTACCGAGTATCGCTCGTTTCAAAGGTGCATCCATAAAGTAAGAGGCAAAAGTCGAGTTTTAAAACCATAAAAAATACCTATATGTTATTTTAAATAAATCTAAACCATGCGCACTTTATCTGAACTCAGAAAGATTTAATTTTAAACTAAAAGTGACTTCATGAATTCAAGCGCCCTACGAGGCTGGCATCCCTCTCTCACCCTTGCATTATCGAAATTAATAAATTTAGCCGTCTCTTCTACTTCAATAGCTTCATATCTCGCACCTCTCGCCTGTGAAACTCTCTTCCCTATTCCAGTTTCCCTGAGAGCTCTAATCTCCAACTATTCAAATGTAATGTCAATCGACATCTCCAGTTGCCTTGATCTATCCACTATCCTTCTCCTCATCCTTTCCTCTATCACTCCTATCTGATCTTGCTCTGTAACCCCTTGCGTCCTAGTGGCTTCCCGCCTTGCTTGGGGTGAAACGCTTAAAAAAAAAAGAAAAAAAAAGAAAAGATATCACGTCTCTTCCATTCAACTAAAAAGTAACCACTATAATGCTGAGTATTATTCTTTCTTCCTACGAAAACACCGGACGTTTTCCATATTTCCCCACTTCTTTCATGTACAGGGTTCCATCAGGACGTGAGCAATCATGGCTCTTCACGATTTTCTATCATTTCTTAACTCTAAGCAATATTTATCGTCTTACTATTTCTTCTTCCTGTTTTGTTATTTATTTAATCGTTAGATATCTTTTTCTGTTTTCCTCTTTCTTTCAAAACTGTTAAAAACCTTCAACTGTTTCTCTAAGTAAAAGCGCCATTTTCTTCCCAGTTTCTTAAAACTTCGCCGTTGTTTATATATTTTTTCAATGGTATTCACAACATCATTCTGTACAACCACTTCCTTGTCACCACGAGTCTCTTCTTCATATGTCAGGAGATTGTTCAGCATTTACTGCCATATAAGATGATTGATATTAATCAATCTTCCGAAAGCAATTCAGCATTCTTTTCTTTGCTTCTAACGGCATTGTTCTGTTTGTTAAAACTCTTTGTTTACTTTCGTTATTTCAGTGCCACTTCGGATTTCTCTGTCATATTTTACGTCGATTGTTATAACACATAAGAGATAATTAAATTTCTGTATTTACTTGCTTCCGATGTTTCCATTTCGTAGCTAGACTCTTGGGCTGGCCTTGCTAACGGCCCAGAATTCTGTATTTTTTTTATTTTTTTGCAATTGAATCTGGAGATGTTCGAATGTCGCGGTTCCACTATATATATATATATATATATATATATATATATATATATATATATATATATATATTGAAACAAAGACCTGATACCACAGAACAGGAATATTGATTTAAATAAACATAATTTTATGTTCATTTTTTTTTTTAATATCCGGACCTAGGCTAGCTTTCGGCCAACACATCATCAGAGACCAATCGTTGGCAATTTTTAACTCATTCGGATTGATAAGAGAAAGCGTGTTCCTGTACTATCTCTTATCAATCCAAAGGAGTCAAAAGTTGCCAACGATTGGTCCCTTGATGATGCGTTGGCCAAAAGGTACCCTAGGTCCGGATATTTAAAAAATGAACATAAATTATCATAAAATTTTATATATATATATATATATATATATATATATATAATTATTTTTATAAAAAAATTTATAACATAAGTATGTTATAAAATCACTACAAAATAGCCATTTTGTTTCAACACACTCTGTGTCTTATCAAGTCATGGTGTTGAAAATAAAATAAATGGTTTTAAAAGTTTCAGATTAATTAACGATCCTACATTAGGGGGAGCATTGTTACAAAAGCTAGAATAACCAATCAAAAACGAAGTACAGAAAGATTCAAAAAGCTTGACAACAAAATCCTGCTATTATAGCTATTTAGATCTTTAAATACGTGTAATATTAAAAATAATTTATACTAACTAATAATTATAAATTTATATGATAAAATTTAATATTAAAATTAAAAACTGGCAATTTTAAAATCCAAATTTAATCACTATTAAGTTTAAAAAAAATCTTTGTATTGAGCACTCTTTTAAGAATAGTAATTGTTGGTTATTGAAATTCATTTCGTGTATACCAATTATATACTTTGATATATATATATATATATATATATATATATATATATATGTGTGTGTGTGTGTTTGTGTGTGTGTGTGTGTGTGTGTGTTTATTTCTGATCTCATAACCATCTCCAGTTCTCCGTTTTTGTCGTTCTGGTAAAAATCGGCCGGTAATAGAAGAGAGCACAGACGGTAAAGAGAGAAATGCAACAATCAGGAACGCACCTGTCACAAAGAAGAGCGCAACCCCGGTAAACACAGTCGATAAAGAGAGGAACGCAACAATCACGAACACAGGCGGTAAAGAGAGGAACGCAACAATCACGAACACAGGCGGTAAAGAGAGGAACGCAACAATCACGAACACAGGCGGTAAAGAGAGGAACGCAACAATCACGAACACAGGCGGTAAAGAGAAGAACGAAACAATCACGAAAACAGGCGGTAAAGAGAGGAACGCAACAATAACGAACACAGGCGGTAAAGGGAGGAACGTAACAATCACGAACACAGGCGGTAAAGAGAGGAACACAACAGTCACGAACATAGGCGGTAAAGAGTGGAACGTAACAATCACAAACACAGGCGGTAAAGAGAGGAACGAAACAATCACGAACACAGGCGGTAAAGAGAGGAACGAAACAATCACGAACACAAGCGGTAAAGAGAGGAACGAAACAATCACGAACACAGGCGGTAAAGAGAGGAACGAAACAATTACGAACACAGGCGGTAAAGAGAGGAACGAAACAATCACGAACACAAGCGGTAAAGAGAGGAACGAAACAATCACGAACACAGGCGGTAAAGAGAGGAACGAAACAATTACGAACACAGGCGGTAAAGAGAAGAACGAAACAATCACGAACACAGGCGGTAAAGAGAGGAACACAACAGTCACGAACACAGGCGGTAAAGAGAGGAACGAAACAATCACGAACACAAGCGGTAAAGAGAGGAACGAAACAATCACGAACACAGGCGGTAAAGAGAGGAACGAAACAATCACGAACACAGGCGGTAAAGAGAGGAACGAAACAATTACGAACACAGGCGGTAAAGAGAGGAACGAAACAATCACGAACACAAGCGGTAAAGAGAGGAACGAAACAATCACGAGCACAGGCGGTAAAGAGAGGAACGAAACAATTACGAACACAGGCGGTAAAGAGAAGAACGAAACAATCACGAACACAGGCGGTAAAGAGAGGAACACAACAGTCACGAACATAGGCGGTAAAGAGAGGAACGAAACAATCACGAACACAGGCGGTAAAGAGAGGAATGTAACAATCACGGACACAAGCAGTAAAGAGAGAAACGTAACAACTACGAACACAGGCGGTAAAGAGAGGACCGCAACAATCACGAACACAGGCGGAAAAGAGTGGAACGTAACAATCACGAACACAGGCGGTAAAGAGAGGAACGCAACAATCACGAACACATTTGGTAAAGGGAGGAACGTAACAATCACGAACACAGTCAGACAGGCGGTAAAGGAAGCATCTATATACGCAGGAACACAGTTGATAAAAGAGGGAACTCTACATGCAGGAAAACGGAAGTGCAGTAAGTGTACTTGTAGGAACACAGACTTTGAAGTAACAAATTATACTGGCAGGGACACAGGCGATAATAGAATGAACTAGAGAAACAGGAACATTGGATGTAAGGGAAACAACTATACAAGCAGTTACACGCGGTTAAAGGAAGAAGCTATACACGCAGAGCTTTACTATCAAAGTTTCATGAAACTGACAGTTGCCGAAGGATGAGAGCGCAAAAGCATTATAGTATAATCAAGGCTTTGTATTCTACATTTTACATTAAGTACATTTATTAGTATTTGTTTTTGCTACGTATCCACATTTTTGTGCAAATATTAAATATATATATATATATATATATATGATATGATCAAATAGCGTTTATAATTGTTTGTATATCGGTTATATAAACATAAGCAAAGCAAATAATTACCAGATGGATCTTCACGTTCTTGTCACTGCGTGTTCAAGTCCCAACGGTGAAAATGTCTTTTTTTTTGTAGTAGCATTCGGTTACATAGAAAATGCATGAAAACAACTGATGGAAAATAGATTTAATTTATTCTTTTCTCTTTTTTCGGTAATTATATAATTTAATTTTCATATTTTCAACATATTTTACTTAACCGGGGCAAGTGCGATTCGCCTTGGTATTAAATGTTAGCAAACAACTTCGGTAGATCATTACTACTGCAGTCTTACGGCATTACAAGAGAATGCAATTGGCACTCAATATCACACCAGAATCTATATTTACAAGAGTCGGATTAGAGCGAAAATGAACTAATGATATCACATCTGGGCTGAAGTTGCTCAACCTTTATTTCGCCCATGTTTCGGAGTTCAAAAGACCTTGTGGGTGATGATAGATTCTCTACCCGACTATCCCTTTCTCACAGACAATCTTCAAAAGCACCTCACCAAATTTTCGCTGTTTCCATGGCATATGCTTTAACGAGTTACATTCCTTAGTTCCATGGCATATACTTTTCCCATGGCATATGCTTTTTCCCTGGCACATGCTTTTTCCATGGCATATACGTTTTCCATGGCATATGCTTTTTCTATGGCATATGCTTTTTCCATGGCATATGCTTTGACGAGTTACATTCCTTAGTTCCATGGCATATGCTTTTTCCATGGCATATACTTTTTCCATGGCATTTGCTTTTTCCATGGCATATGCTTTTTTCAATGCCTTTGCTTTGACGAGTTTCATTCCTTAGTTCCATGGCATATGCTTTGACGAGTTTCATTCCTTAGTTCCATGGCATATCCTTTTTCCATGGCGTATATTTTTCCATGGCATATGCTTTTTTTCATGGCATATGCTTTAACGAGTTATATTCCTTAGTTCCATGGCATATCCTTTTTCCATGGCGTATATTTTTCCATGGCATATGCTTTTTCCATGGCATATGCTTTGACGAGTTACATTCCTTAGTTTCATGGCGTATGCTTTTTCCATGGCATATACTTTTTCCATGGCATATGCTTTTTCCATGGCATATGCTTTAACGAGTTTCATTCCTTAGTTCCATGGCATATCCTTTTTCTATGGCGTATATTTTTCCATGGCATATGCTTTTTCCATGGCATATGCTTTGACGAGTTACATTCCTTAGTTTCATGGCATATCCTTTTTCCATGGCGTATATTTTTCCATCGCATATGCTTTGACGAGCTACATTCCTTAGTTCCATGGCATATGCTTTTTCCATGGCATATACTTTTTCCATGGCATATGCTTTTTCCATGGCATATGCTTTTTCAATGGCATATACTTTGACGAGTTACATTCCTTAGTTCCATGGCATATCCTTTTTCCATGGCGTATATTTTTCCATGGCATATGCTTTTTCCATGGCATATGCTTTGATGAGCTACATTCCCTAGTTCCACCAGTTCATATATTTACAATAAATACTCACCACTCCCCCTATATAGATTGAAAACATCCTCATGAGATTTTGTATTCCATTAGCAAGAAGGGTATTTCATTTAGACATCTCCTTCACAAGAACCGCCACTTTGTGTAACAGACTCCCGAGAGGATAATTTTCTTTACTTTTCTCTAGTGAAATCACGAGCCCTGTTCTTTATTCACACAAGCATCTTCAAACATTTTGTATGACATGCCTTACACGATTGTGCAAGTTAACTGAAACAAAACGAATAAGCGTTGTTATTTACTTTTTCCCATGAAAAATGACCCAGTGTATATGTTAGTACTTCGTATGTCCATTCCACGAAGTCGTTCCTTGCAGACTGACCACAGATTCTTGACTGGAATTAAATCGGGAAAGTTTCCGAGCCAGTCTATAGTACTTTGATTTGCTCACTAGCAAGGCTTGCCAGTGTGTTCCTGCAGTATTACACATTTCGTACGCTTCCTTGGAGTAACATCACAGACAATGGGCGTAGGACAACTAATTGACAGTCTAGACAATAGTGAATGGGCGTGATAAAAATCTGATGCAATCATGGATGACGTAATATTTTTCAAGGCCAAACAAATTTCATCATACACGCCGAAAATAGACACCACTATAGATAACCTAATCTAAGGAACAAAATTGAAATCGATTACACCCTGTCACTCTAGTGTGTCTAAAATTGGGCGTATGGCGAAAGAAAGGAAACTAAAGTGTCTGTTTAAATTAATTTTCACAAGGTTGTATGTGAATATCTGCCAAAATAGGTATTCGGAGTCTAAATTTTTGTCCATCTGTTACGCTCAATTTTGGACAAACATCATTGAGATTTTAAATAAAATTTTAAAAAGTCATGACATAACCTCTTCTTCCCCACTCTCTAGTAATGAAAAAGTAGAAACTCTAGCTTTGAGTGGCAACTAGCACAGTGCAAAGGCAACTCTCGATTTTAATCGGGAAAAGCACTCTTCTAAAATTTCTAGGAAGCAATGGAGATTCACAAATAAAAGAGAAACGAAATCAATCATGATATATGATCGCCCACGTCCCTAATGGTAATGGTAATATTAGCCATTCTCCTACAAGGAAAGATTTGACAGTCACTGATCGAGCAGCTAGTACTGCTTTCGGTTGGAAATTATAAAAAAAAAATCTTTCCCTTAGCGGCTTTATTGCTTTATATATTATGCCTTTGCATTCCTTAAGGAACATAAGGCCGCAAGATATTGATGCCGTTTCTGTAATAAGCCAGTAGGTTGTTTGCATAACCCCTAACTTGGATGATCAGTTTTTGCATTCAGTTTGCATTCAGGTCTCCTGTCTGTCTTGCTATTTAGAAAGGGTGAAAAAGAGGATTAATACCTTTGCCAAGGGTATTAGCACGTAAGTGAATGTAATAGATTCGACTGGAATTCGAACTCTGCTCTCCGATTCCGAGTCGCTGTCCATTATTCCACCGTGCTTTCCTCGCTTTATTGCCCTGCTTGGGGTGAAATGATTAAAAAAAATTAAAGAAGTAAACAAATATCAAAATGTTTAAACCTATCGAACTACTTTAATGAGAGGCATTTTCGCCAATATTATTTTACGACAGATGGTAACGATAATATGTACAGTTTTCTTATAAGCAAACATTCAATGACCAAGCAGTCTTTACTACTGACGGTTGAAATTTATAAAATCTTTCTCTGTAAACAATATTCCAGCGAAATAGTTTTCTCATGTCCAGTAGCTGTTATCGATCTTTCCAATATTAATCAAAGGGTTTCCTTACAAATCTTTCGTTTGAATTAGGGCGGAACGTCGATCTAATGGTTATCACATTAATCTTTTCTCGAGTTACGTGTGTTATCCATTTTACTTGTCAAGTGGTGTTCTTTCTGTTATTTAGCACAGTCCTTTGTTTGTGAATATGTAGCGCCAGTTTTCAAAGACCCTAAGGTTTTGCTGGCTCGAAGCCATTTTTCAACATTGATGTTAGAAATCGGATGACACATTTGATATTTCAAGGGATATGTCAATGAACAAAAAAATCGCGAAGATGCAAGTGTAGAAAGCTAGATAAATATTTCTGAACAAATATACACACCTAGATTTGTCATTTGTTGATAAAGCTACGAGAAAACATTCGGATATTTATAATCGCATGCAATGCATAAACTTTACTCTGTTCCTATATTTGGCACCTACCTACGTCATGTCTAAAAATTATGAGTAATAAATAGCTTAATAAAGTAAGCTGGCCTTAATACATATAGCATCTCTGTGTTTTCATAAACTTCACACACACACAACGAAAAAACACACACACACACACAACGAAAAAAAAACACACACATACAGAGAAAACGAAACACACACACATCTATCTATCTATCTATCTATATATATATATATATATATATATATATATATATATATATATATATATATATATATGGCAATTTTGAGGACATGGGTTCAAGGCTATTGGTTTGTAAAAAGCTGACATCATTATAATTATGTCTATTGATGGCATGAGTTACACAAATAGGACATTATATACACATATACCAATTATTTTATCTAACAAAACACACACACAAACAGACAACGAAACACACACACACATCTATCTATCTATCTATCTATCTATCTATCTATCTCTCTCTCTCTCTCTCTCTATATATATATATATATATATATATATATATATATATATGGCAATTTATGGACATGGGTTCAAGGATATTGGTTTGTAAAAAGTTGACACTATAATTATATCTATTGATGGCATGAGTTACACAAATAGAACATATATACACTTATACCAATGTATTTTATCTAACAAAATCATCCCTTGTGTATATGAATTCTATTTTATCAAGACAAAAACCAAGAGTTACTAAGACATATACTGAGAGTACAGTGCATACATTTAAAAAAGACGTTTCGATGGTCATCTCCCATATATATATATATATATATATATATATATATATATATATATATATATCATATATATAAATTTATATAAGTGAATGTATGTCAAGATGAAGCAAATTTCTGCCAATAAATTACTGAGTAATTAATCAGAACAATAATTAATTTATAAGAAAGTAATGCAAGCTCACAGTTGTACATCGACACTGAGTTTCCAAGGATGACTGTTTGAATTATTACACACACACACACACACACACATATATATATATATATATATATATATATATATATATATATATATATATGTATGTATGTATGTTTGTATATAAATATGTATATATATATATATATATTTATTTTTAATGACTATATATTTTATTTTT